AAGTTATATAGTCATTAACGTTATTGAAACTGACAGCTGCTATACAGCTCGTTGAGAAATGAGGTTAAGTTGGTCGCTATAAGCTACTCCCTACGTCCAATGTGTCAGAGCCAACTTCGACCACGTTTTTATTTGAACGCTCGTTACTATATTTTCTTTGTCTTATACACATTTATATGTATGACTGTATTCACATTTGTACCTTTGACTTGCCATAAATGTATATGCATATATTTATGTAACATGGTCCAATAAACTTTCTTTCTTTCTTTCTTTCTTTCTTTCTTTCTTTCTTATTATTATTTCACATTACAAATTTCAAATAAAGGAGAAATTAATATTTTTTTATTACTGTTCTATATTATTTATTATATGCACAAGACTTATTTCCGTACAAATCTATCTACAGATATTATGACTAATTACTGTTCATATTTTTGTTAAGAATTTTTTCAAATTTAATATGGTTAATATACATAATATACAACATTATACATGCAGTGACAACTAATACAAATATTATTATTAGTAACAAAACTGAATTATCTTCCTTTTTTTCTGCTTTAACAAAGGTATTAATTAATTTTTCCATTTCCGCGCCATTTTCTTGATTCGTATAATTTATTTCAAACACCGGGCTTTTAAATGTTTCTAGTTTTTTATAAAAACTGCTACTTAAAAAATCTTTATTGAAATAATTATCCATGTCGATTTTGTCAGAATTGACATTTTCAGTTCCTTCGTAATTTACAAAGTACTTAACAAAATTGCTGTTCCTAAAACTAGAATGAAAATAGTCATTTACAATATGGTTTGGAAATTCGGCAATATCAGTATCGTTCAATTTCTTTTCAACATCGTATATGTTAATACTGTTGTTAAATTGTAAATTTTCCAGGTACTTATAAAAATTACTTTTCCGGAAATCTTTATTATAGTATTTGTACAAGGAACTTTTTGTAAAATCAATATTAAGTATTTCATTCAATTTTGTTCTAAAAGCTTCTTCAATATCAAAATTTTGCTTTGTAGTCACCTCTGAATTATAATCTGTCTCTGAACAAGCTATACCGTGGATGTTGCTACTACTCCATGAATGTCCAGGGTATATTTTAATTCCTCTCAAGTCATGGAAAATTTCAGTTAATTTGTCACAAGTAAAATTATTTCCATCTAACGATAGTTCTTCTAACTGTGTTAACAATTCCTTAAAATCCTTCGAATCAAAAATGCTTATTTCGTTTTCATGTAAATATAACTCATGAAGATTATTTAACAAATGGTAGTTGTACGATTTAAAAGAAGTTAGATGATTTTTTGATAAATGTAATACCTGTAACTTCATCAATCCGTCGAATAAACCGTATTGCAATTTCTCCAACTCATTCGTAGATAGATTTAACAAAACTAATCCATTTAAATTTGAGAAATAATCGTTTGGTATAGATGCAATATTATTGTTTTGTAAAAACAAATGGGATATATTTTTTAAAGCAGGTGTGGTTTCTAAATTTGATAATGAGTTGTGACTAGCATCAAGAAAGTAAATTCCTGGATTACTGTCATTGCAGTTGTTACGAGCTAGAGAGGACAACGAGTTTTTACTGATATCTAGTACCAATAGTGGCGCGAAACAGCCAATTATACTGCTTATGTTATTATTGGATAAAATTAATGTATGCATATGTGAAAGCGAAGTAAAATTAAATATTTCTAATTTGTTAAAACTCAAATCTAATTTGGCATGTTCTTTTATATTTACCAAAGAGTAACTGTCAAAAGACTGCAAAGCATTTTGCGACAGATTTATATAATGTAAATTGTTGCAACCATGGAAAGAATGGCTACTTAACTTCTGAATGTTATTTTTAGATAAATCTAATGCAATTAAATTGACCAAGGAGTTGAAAATACCATCCGAAATGCTGGTTATATTGTTATTTGATAAATATAACTCTTGTAGTGCCTTCAACAGGTTGAATGCCCCAGGTAGAATAGTTTCTACTTCATTGCTTGTTATGTCCAGTATGGTGGTTGAAGGGTAGTTTGTAAAAGCTGATGGTGGAATAGTGGGAACAATTGAATTTCTTATTGTTAATTTTTGTGGGCATTGTGAACATTGATAATTTTTTGGTGCATCTGAAGACAAGCGTCCATAACTTAAATTAACGGAAGAACAGTCTACACTTATAGAATTTACATGTTCTGTTTGTTGTCGGTTATCGTAGTACTCGTCGTAGTTAGGGTCATTTTCCTCATATACAACCTCTGCTGTTTCTACACAACCTCCAGAACAATGCACAATCCAGCTTGCTAGATACACCATAAAAGTAAATATTTCCTTTGACGCCATATCCTGAAATCATTTAACTAGATTAAAGTCTCATTTATTCCAATCTTTTTTTTCTTATTTAACGTATATTTTTCCATAAAATAAATATAAAAATATCAATTACAGATCAGTAAATACACATGCGTTAGAAAGGCTTTTATAATGTCCAGTCACCATTTAAGAACCATGTCGTTTTCATATAACGAAAGAATAAACGTTTAATACTAGTAAATGAGGAAGCGATCGTTTTTAATATTAATATTCCTGAATTTTCACATTTTAAAATAACGTTTGATTAAGGTTTTTGGCAAACGAAATTTAAATCTGGAATAGAAGGTTATTTAAATAACATGTTTTTCCATGTGTTTTTGTTAGAAAAATAGCTTTTGTCATATTATTTTTTTTTATACCAGAAATTTAAATTCTAGTGTAGGTATGTGTCGAATATTTAAAACTAGTCCTCTCTCTATATGATTATGTATTACAGAATAACACTAGTAGACCAAGCAAATTAAATTTTTACTCGAAAAAAGTCATATCCGCGAGATTATTGTAAAATTGTCTGAAGGAACATAATACAAGACATCTCTCATCTCGTGAGTCAAAAACTTTTATTAGCTAACTTTTCTATTTAAACAAATAAGTGAGGAAAACAGTTTTTTACTTAGCAGGGAAAACCATCAATTTTAGCGTGACTCACAGGCAGCTTATAGGGAGTAAAATTATCACCCAAATGAGACTTGTTAAATTAAAATCGGTTAATAAACAAAAAAGTTATTGCAAAAAAACAAGAAAAGTGCCCATTTTTTAATTTGTTTATAACTATCGCATTTATTGTTAAAATTTTATAAAACCTATGACAAGTTGAGGGTTTTGTCATACTTTAAAAGTGTGCCAAAAGTGGGCGCTGTAGGTGCAATAGTTTTCGCACAATTCTATTTGTTTATAGCGGAGGCTCCAAAAGTTATGAACTTTAAGCCTCTGTACAGACGTTAATTTTCAATCAAACATGATTCTGAAAGCGTCATTGTAATCTTAAAGACGCAATTAAGCGACCTATTAAAAAATATCACCGTTTTTTTGACATTAACATTCTCAAATTGTGCATTAAAAAACCGTGCGTTTTTCGCTTATAAACAATTTGAATAACATTGTTGCTATTTATGCTATCTCACCGAAAATAGATGCAATGGATAGCTGGCAAAAAAATACAGTTTTAAAATAAAAAAAGTACCCTCTACGACCAACAGGAGCCAAGATAAGAATTTTTTTTTAAAAAATCGTAGCGCAATTGTTTATAAATATTAAGACTTGAATTTTTCGCAAAATAAAGTTTACGACGTAAACTACGATTTCCCGTGAATTGCATTGAAAAATGTGGAAAATTAACGACTCACGAGCCCTTTAAAGAGAAGGTACTCGCTAAGTAAACTGTCCGGCGGCCGGCGGCGTGGTGGTGGGGGAAGCTCGTCCAAGCGGTAGCGCTGGCGAGAAAAGTTAAATCCAAAGTTTAAATAGGTGCGCGCTCTAAATTTTGCTATATCTCGGCTTCTATTCATCGTAGAAACTTATTTTTTTTTTAAACTGGGGTAGCTCGACGAAAAAATAACAATGGGCATATTTACGAATTCGTAGAATAGCCCTGAACCCCAGAAAAAATGCATCTTTTATACTTAATTTTTTTTAATTTACAAAAATGTCACAAAAATTATTGTTAAACGAAATATTAATTAAAATTTCAATTTCGGAATTATTTTACTATTATTAAATAAATAAATGAAGCTATCGTTCATTTAAAAAGTTATTTTTTTTACATATTAAGGCAAAGTAAACTTGTTTTTTCAATATTTTGTTAGCTATTTAATTACGATTTAAATGTAAAATTAAAGTAAAAATTCACAAATTATTTTCAAATTATTATTTATTGTTAAAAGATTTAAAAAAGAATAAAAAGCATTTGAATTTATTGCAAAATTCTCAAAATTAAAAAATATTAATAAAAATAATGCGGTCGATAAAATTACAATTTTAACTTCTTGAAATTTTAATATATAAAGTTTTTTTATTATATTTATTACTAATTTTATAAACATAATCAAAATTAATTCAAAAAATATTAATCACAACCATTTTCAATAATAGATATAAATAATGCAATATAATACAATTTAAAATTTAAAATTTTTTCTATTTTTATGAGAAATAATAATTTGAAAATAATTTATGAATTTTTACTTTAATTTTACATTTAAATCGTAATTAAATAGCTAACAAAATATTGAAAAAACAAGTTTACTTTGCCTTAATATGTAAAAAAAATAACTTTTTAAATGAACGATAGCTTCATTTATTTATTTAATAATAGTAAAATAATTCCGAAATTGAAATTTTAATTAATATTTCGTTTAACAATAATTTTTGTGACATTTTTGTAAATTAAAAAAAATTAATTATAAAAGATGCATTTTTTCTGGGGTTCAGGGCTATTCTACGAATTCGTAAATATGCCCATTGTTATTTTTTCGTCGAGCTACCCCAGTTTAAAAAAAAAAAGTTTCTACGATGAATAGGATTTCACTTTTTTCGCGCGCGCGACTCGATTGGACGAGCTTCCCCCATCATCACGCCGGACAGTTTACTTAGCGAGTACCTTCTCTTTAAAGGGCTCGTGAGTCGTTAATTTTCCACATTTTTCAATGCAATTCACGGGAAATCGTAGTTTACGTCGTAAACTTTATTTTGCGAAAAATTCAAGTCTTAATATTTATAAACAATTGCGCTACGATTTTTTAAAAAAAGATTCTTATCTTGGCTCCTGTTGGTCGTAGAGGGCACTTTTTTTATTTTAAAACTGTATTTTTTTTCCAGCTATCCATTGCACCTATTTTCGGTGAGATAGCATAAATAGCAACAATGTTATTCAAATTGTTTATAAGCGAAAAACGCACGGTTTTTTAATGCACAATTTGAGAATGTTAATGTCAAAAAAACGGTGATATTTTTTAATAGGTCGCTTAATTGCGTCTTTAAGATTACAATGACGCTTTCAGAATCATGTTTGATTGAAAATTAACGTCTGTACAGAGGCTTAAAGTTCATAACTTTTGGAGCCTCCGCTATAAACAAATAGAATTGTGCGAAAACTATTGCACCTACAGCGCCCACTTTTGGCACACTTTTAAAGTATGACAAAACCCTCAACTTGTCATAGGTTTTATAAAATTTTAACAATAAATGCGATAGTTATAAACAAATTAAAAAATGGGCACTTTTCTTGTTTTTTTGCAATAACTTTTTTGTTTATTAACCGATTTTAATTTAACCAGTCTCATTTTGTAGATAATTTTACTCCCTATAAGCTGTCTGAGAGTCACTTTTCGCTAAAATTGATGGTTTTCCCTGCAAAGTGAAAAAACTGTTTTCCTCACTTATTTGTTTAAATAGAAAAGTTAGCTAATGAAAGTTTTTGACTCACGAGATAAGAGATGTCTTGTATTATGTTCCATTAGACAATTTTACAATAATCTCGCGGAAACGACTTTTTTCGAGTTTCGCTTTTATTTTCGCTAATTTTCCTGGTGTATAGATATATTTAATCGCAAACAGCTCTCTGAAAAGGCTCCACTAAATCAATGGAAATGTTCGTTTGTAAATGGTAAGTGGTGGTATTTTTCATCAATTTTGACATTGCTGGTTCTTTAAAGACGTAAGCAGGATTGCAGTATGTAATTTTAAAAAACACAACCTTAATGTTAAATAAACCAACAATAAAATTTAATAGTTACTGAAGTATAAAATAAAATATTGAAATATTAAAAAAATGCTATGGTGTCATTTACTTACTATTAGTAAATATATAATTAATATTGTTAATTAATTGGTTCATTATTAAAAAATTATAAAACCTTACTAAATGTTTAGGAAATATAAAACGTATAGGTATGATTTTAAACATTTTATTAGTAAAACCTTACAAAAATATTTTTGTTTAACATTTGTAGATTATTCACTTGATATGGAGGTTTTATGTACGTCTAAAAGAACAGTTTAATTTTACTAATTTTAATAACGTTTGTTCATTGCTAAAAGGACTGCAAAACATTTTTCATACAAAATTGTGTATTTTTAACGACCGCTATTTTTACAACCACAAAAGAACGATTAATTTTCCGACGTAACACTAATCATTAACTAATGAACTTGAAAATAAGTTTTAAAAACTTATGTGTGCTTACTGGGGTATATCATCGTACTAGGTTAGTTAGGCTGGGTTAGATAATCTATTTCCATTTTATCCAGTAGAATTTATTACTGTTTCGTGTAAAGCAATATAAATAGGTAATTAAAAACATCATTTTTGCATATACATATATCACTATTCTTCAATTTCCTAAACATTTAAAATAGAACCGCAATGTTACTTACTTTTTCAAGATTTATAGCCAACTGCTTGCACACACTGGTCCAGGTATAATAAATAATAAAATTATTTCAAGTGTATTTTTAATATTAAAAGTGTTAAATAATTATATCTATGACAGTACAGTGACACACATGAATTAATATCCTTATAAACAAATTAACAGCTACAATTATTTAATTTTGCTAATTATTTCCACAACAACATTTGATATGAAATAATCATAAGGCAGATACCCGTCATACAGCATGTTTTCACCACAAACTCTTATTTTTTAAATATCGAGGATGCGGTGAGGATATTTATCATAACTTGGAACACCGCAAATTTTTGTTTATTGTTTTAACGATAAAGTTGTATCGCACCCTGTATCTCGGTTAGGAAGTGGTTTACGAATTATGTTCATATAAACATTTTCGTTCAAAATCAAGTTTTCTATCAACTCTTAAAGATAGTATGTTTAAAAAAGAACACCCTGTACATATTCCATATATTCGAAAAATATTAAGTAAATAGATAAATAAATTAAAGATATATGTGCATTTAATATTTATTAAAATTAGTAGTTATTACATGTCAATGATAACATTATTTTTACTGATTA